ATGAGGTCCCAGAATATCCCTTGGCGACGGACCCAGCATGTCAATGTGGGGAGAGGAGGTCCCGGAATGAAAATATTTCCTCGGTGACCCAGTGTGTTTGCATAGTCTCCCCATTAAAGGAGCAGCTTAGAGAAAACATGTTGTGTGTTTGTAGCAACCAATAAATTGCACAAGAAGACACATTTGCAAGTGCAAATTATAAATATGCGAGTGATGCTAAATATAATAGGACTTTGAAGCTACAGCCTCTAATCCGTTCAATCGGTAGCAAGCATGACATCATATCTGGGGCCTTATTACTCCACTACACATTAACATTATATTCAGAATATTCCTGCAACAAATTTAAAGCACACCAGAGATTATATAATTCAGTAATGTTAAATAAACATGTTCTTATGTTCAGTTATTTAAAACAGCCCATAACTCAGTCATGGGGCAGGAGTCCTCTTTCATGTCGTTCTGTTCTTTTGGAAACCAGGACCTCAGCATCAGACTGGCTTGTACTAATCTTTTCAATAACAGTTGTGGGCTTTATAACTGGGTGCAGCTTTGGATTTCTGACTAGCTTCACCTAGGTTAACATAACGTTACACTGGCTGTCCACCTGATCCAGTGTAACCTGTGTGAAGTGGTTACTTTTGACGTAATTAGCCTAAGTGCCTGTTTTTATTGTATTTAATTATACATATTTTTGTCTAATATGCTGTTGTAAAGGACTAGTTGTGCAAAAAGTATTAGACCTTGGACCTTTTATATATTATTCATATATACAGTTTCTTTCACATGTAAATGTGGTGCCTGGATTTCTATCCGGCTTGTTCCAGCACAAATTAACCCCTGACTCTTTCTAATTAAACCTTTTCCCCTCACGGGTATTTTCTACCGTGTCCTGCCATGGTACTGTCAGCTCCACAACACTGACCACAAAAAATCTGATCTTAGAGTAGAAAACAACCTCATCTAAACTATAGCTTTGAAATGCTGTCCCATCACAGGCACTGCTGAGAATTTGTGACTGCATACATTCAGTGTGACGTGTCCACATGCCATTCATGACTCAATAATACATCCAGTAAGTGACTGGGGAGCCTGTTGAGAGTCCCAAGAAGTGAGCAGAGGCTTGAGCTGTACTGTTGAACAGGAGGGAGTGACTTGTAATGAAAAACATTCTTTGTTCAGCTGCAGAACTTGGATGTAATCTTTACTGAAGCCTAGAGAGTAAGAGGTGAAGGCAGGAGGAAATGAAACAGATACATATCTGGGTGCTGCTTAATCCACTGTCAATTCAGTCCTCCTGGCAGTTGTCCAAAGAGAGATGTTGTTGTGCACTCACACTTTAATAACAGCTGCACTTGCTCTACAGTAGTAGTGGTGGAAAGTAACTAAGTACATTTGCTCAAGTACTGCACTTAAGTACATTTTGAGGTATCTGTACTTTACTTGAGTATTTTTATTTTGTGCTACTTCATACTTTTATTTTACTTTTTAGTCCACTACATTTATTTTAATAACTTGTAGTTACTTTTTAGAACCCTATTAATACAAAAATTATAGTATAATCAAAATAATTTACTGATATCCAGTGGAAAATATACACACTACCTAGCAGTATGTAAAGTACTTCACATTATAAGCTTTATACGCTCACTTAAAATAGCCCCTTTACCAGGTGCAACATTAAATGTGATGCACACAATAATATCTGTGTATTTATCCAATAATATAACATTCATTATATGAGTACTTTTCTTTTAGTATTTTAAGTGTGTTTTGATGCTAATGGTTTTACCTAAGTATCATTTGGAATGCAGGACTTTTACTTGTAATAGAGTATTTAAGTACTTACGTTAGGGATCTGAATTCTTCCACCACTGTCTTCTTGTCGTTAACATGCACAGTAAAATGTTTAAAGAGTTTGGTCTAAAAACTTGCCCTTCATGTCTTTTACATTCTTTTTATTTATTTATGTTATTATAAAACTGGCACACAAAAACAAAACTACATTATATCATGACACTGAAAGCTCCTACACTCAATGCTTAACAGAACCACAGCTGTCAGAGGTTAGAGACACACGGTGCATGCAGGGCACATTCATCAGGCTGGTCTCAGTTCAGTTCTTATTGTTTATGATAAAATGTTAATTTCACCCATGCTGCTTGGTTTTAAAAAAAAAAACTTTTACTATCTTCTGATTTGGTTAGATTAAAACTAGCTCATCTAAACATGCTACTCTTGAGTCATGAGCACTTGGACTTAATCTTGCATAATTAAACAGCTCTATAATTACCTCCCCTGTGATTCCATTAAAGTCCTGGGGAAAAAAACCTCCAAATTATATTCTTTACATATCTGACCACTGTGATTATTCTTAACTATTCACAGTCACTGAACATTAGTAGACAACTCTGTGGTAGTAATTGTCTTAAGTACATTTTCTCTGGTGTAACACCTTAAATAATTAGAGACTACAGCCCAAGAGCCTGCATGTGCATCAGTGTTACAACAAACAAAACAAATTAGTTGGAGACAATGCATGTTTTATAATAAACAGTGACCTTTTGTGTAACCCTTTTTTTTAACCTATCCATTAAATTTGTTTCAAGCCTTTGAGATAGAACACTAACAACTCGAGTACTGTATTATGCAAAATGCACATGGGCATTAAAAGCATCCATCAAATCCTTTGCCTGACAACCACAAAAACACACTTTAAGATATACTTTTACAAAACAAGCCGTGAAATAATTTTCTGGGTTAAAACACAAAGTGTAAAAGACCATTGAAATTAATACACATGCATATGATTTCTCTGAGTGTACAGTAGCACAGATAGGACACAATATCCTAAACTGTGCATGTACTGTAGCTCTCTATAGGGTATTCAAAAAGTGTAAAGATACTACTGTAAGTGTTGAGGTGGGGGCTCTGCTCTGTGCTATAGAGATAGCAGTGAGATCCATCATTAATCATTTCACAGGAGCAGGACAACACTGAGGAAGGGGAGCTGAAGGGATAATAAGAATACATCAGAGAAAACAAGGCCATTATAGCCATTGCAATACATTCTGCAGTATAGGAACAGATTAGCATTTTAAAATCCTTCAGGCGATAATTAATAATCTCTGTGGACCAGTGTGTCCTTATTAATGTAGATTACTTATTCAAAGAGTTTTATGTGATAGGAAAGTAATTTACATGGTTAATCAAAATGCTTTCACTCAGTGTCCTCAGCAGCGGTTCACTGAGGTGTAGCAGCCGTTCGCTCACCAGCAGGCAACAGCCTTGGGGACTCGGAGAGACTGACCTGGGATGTGTCATATTGCTGAGTGAAAGGTCACTAAGAGATGAATAAAATGTTTTCCCTATCATCTCTCAGGAAAATATTATCTCCCAGAAGAGATGATAGATCACTCAGTCGATGATTGTGCCAAGGACCAGAGATGACTGCCATGGCCTTGCTGAGGCAGAGCACCTGGGTCAAAAGACACAGCTGCATCTGTCCTGATTGCGAATGCTTAACACCACAGGGTGCTGCTTGATGGTGATTTTAACCCTGACAGATAAGATGGGCTCTGCAGAGTGCATGTAATGGCCCTCCTCTGAGAAGCTAAATATACAGTACCAGTAAGTAGCCAGATTACATCCTATCATTAAAATTAAAGCTGTGAATGTCAGACAGACCATCTTAACAGCGTGTCAAAGGCCCCAGTGCAACAAAATAACAATTTAAAATCTTTATACAAACAAAATGCCTACTCTCTTAAATGTAGCTTGAACAATGCCCAACAGCTCTTTCATAGCAGGCCCATATCCAAATAATCAAATTTTATAACTTGTTGGAAACACTAATATGTATGTAAATTACTCATAATGAGCTTTACAACAAAGTCTTTGGAGCCTTTCAAAGCAATAATACATCTTTAATTTGCGTTGGTGGAAATACACCATGGTGAACCAGAAATTAGGAAGTGAAGCATTTTTTTTTACTTAGTTTAAGACTAATTCTCCAAGTTGGTATTATTATCTTGCACACAGAAGCAAAAGCACAATGTGGAACAGCATCTTAAATAGTTTCATTAGGCTAATGCTTTTTTCTTTATAGTTATTTATGAAAGTTATTAAAGAATAGAACTTTCTGATAAAAAGCACCACATCGCAGCTCTCTTCCTTCTTTCCTCAAGTCATGGTATGTTTTTTTGTACCAGTAATTTACGTGACATTATCTTTTTTCTGCTTGTCTCCCTATTAGAAAATAAAAAACTAGAAAACCCTATTACTGCTGAATGAACATAACATGTGTCACCATGTGTAAAAAGGCTGGAGCAGCCCCTAGATGCTGTTGGAAAAGTAGGTTTAATTTTTCAGCAACTAGCATAAGAACAATGTCAAACATAGAGGCTTGTTCATCTGAACAAAGGACCCATTTGCAGTTAGACAGGTTACACAGGAACATACAGTAGCTCTGTGGATTCCGCAGATGAGTGTCATTCTTATCTGTTAAATTTTCATCAGACTGTTTACTGTAGATAGTAATCTCACAAATATGGTTTGCATCTGATTTTCAGGACCTGCGAGTTATCGCAATAAAAAGGAAGCACATGGTCCTCTTCAGAGAGAGAGGTTGGTGTTTGTAGGGGTTTTGTGAAATATATGTATAAAAAAAGGGGAAAGAAGCTTTCTTGAGTATTATTGTAGTGTTGTATTTGAGTCACAAAACTTTGAGTCCGAGTTCAGTCTCAAGTGTTCAAGTCCGAGTCAAGGCTAAGTCATCAAAGAATAATCAGTCGCCGCAGATGGCTGCCATCAGTTCTGTACCGGAAACAAATTCCTTGTGTGTAGCATACTTGGCCAATAAAGGTGATTATCCTTATCCTATTCTTAAAAGAAAGTAAGACATTCAGTATATTTTCAAAATCTTGCTTTAAGCTGCTTAATAAAATCCACACTAATGTTTTCATTTTGCTACAAGTCTTTCACCTGAACTAGAATCATGGTTAACATCCCTTCTCCAGTAATTGCGCTATTTCCAATTTTTCATAACTCTGGGCCACATTCAAAGCTGTGGATCCAGAGGAGTCCAGCAGTGTCCTGTCTGCTCCATTCAGCAGTAGAGCCTTTACAATAGGCACAGAGCTACCCATGGCAGCCAGGTGTAAAGGTGTTGTCTTACTTGAATTTACTGCATTGACATCTGCATGATGTGATATCAAGTGGAGGACACTTGAGAAACTGCCGCTGCTACAGGCTACATGTAGCGGGGTCCATCCTTCACTGTCCTCTGCCACATTTGGGTTTGCTTTGGCTGCTAGGAGATTTGCCACCACCTGTGGCTGATTTAGGTGGCAGGCAAGGTGGAGCGGGGTCCATCCCTTCTCACCTGTAGCATTCACACAACCACCCAGGCTCTCAAGCTGAATCACAGTGGCTTCATGTCCCCTTATGACAGCCGAGTGCATGGGAGTCCAACCTCGGTGGTTCCTGGAGTCTGGGCTGGCCCCGTTTGAGAACAGCTGCCTGCATATGCCTGTATGACCATTCAGAGCAGCCAGGTGAAGTGGGGTGTATCCTCTGCTGTCTGCACTGTCGATATTCACCCCACTTTTCACCAACTGTCTGACTACTCTGTTATGGCCTTCCTCAGCGGATAAGTGAAGGGGAGTGGCGAGAAAGAAGTCAGTAGAGTTGGGATCTGCTCCCTGAGAGAGGAGGAGCTTGGCAATATTTACATGCCCATAGGCAGAGGCAAGGTGGAGCGGTGTCCTCCCTTGTGCCTCCTCTCGTTCTCCGACTGCTTCCTCTGACAGCCTTGAAAGCAGCAGGCGCACCACTGTTTCGTGGCCATTCTGGCAGGCCAGATGGAGGGGCATCCAACCAGATTTTTCCTTGGCATCCGGTATAGCTCCTTTGTCCAAAAGGAGACGTACAGTCCTGTCGTCACCGTTCTGGGCAGCAAAATGTAGTGCTGTCCACTGATCCTCATCTCCCTGGGTGGTTGCTGCACCATGTTCCAGCAACAAAGAGATGATGTCATGAAGCCTGCAGAAAAAAACTCTTTAGAGTACTATATTACTTTTAAAAGAATACATTTAGGGAAATATTCTTATTTGTTTTCTTAATTTCATCACTGTCTGATAAATACAGTATAAGCCAGGAGACAGCTTAGCTTAAAGACTCGAAGTTACCCCTGCTTCCATGTCTCTAACAGCAAGTCTGGTTCTGTCAAAAAATGTGAACATCCACCTAACTGCACCTCTAAAGCTCACCAATTTACTCATTATATCTTGTTTGTTCAATCCATGCAAACACAGCAATACGTTTCCTAAGCTAAACTAATTGGATCTAACCGAAAAAAACTGTCACTATTAACAACCTATGTTGTTCCTATGTTATGTATGTTAATAGTGGTATGTACCATTTGTACCAGCACCTGTCAGGATGCTGGTACAAATGGTCTTCCCTGTGTCACTCTTAAAGCAGTTTGTTAATATATTTTTACACAGACCTGTGCAGGACAGCAATAATGAGAGGAGTGTAACCCCTGGAAGTCGCACTGTTGATGTCAGCACCCAAACTCAGGACATGCATGACGCTTTCTGCATCCCCGCTGGCTACCGTGTAGAAAAGGAGGCTCTTTTCCCCTGAAAACTGGGTGTGTACATGTTCTGTTTTCACAGACTGTCTGAAACTACTAAAATCCTTTTTGGAGAGCAGAGAGAGAATTTTATCCTTTCCATGGCCATCATCTGTAAAATGAAAGCAAAGGATAGCAGGCTATTCAAGAAAAGCAGCAGCAGACAGCGTGATTATATTGTGTCACAGGGACTTCTATCTTTTTTTATTAAAGTTAAGTGTCTTCATTTTCCTGTGTTCAGTAGTGTGATTGTGCCTTGATGACAGCTTTCTGGATACAGTATCAGCTGTTGCTGTGAAATGTGCATTGGTGTATGAATAAATGTAGCTATAACGTTCAACTTTGACTAAAGAGTGGCAATAAAAAGGTCAATAAAAAGAATTGTGATGCATCTATTCATTAATCTAGTCAACATTTCAATGAAAAAGGCTGCATGAATGTTATTTTATTCCCTCTTCCACTTGTTAACTATGCTTCTCAGTACTAGAGGTAATATTAAAAATGTGACAGCACTGTAAATAGAACGTTTTAAATGTCAATCCTTCAGGCTTTGTGCTGCACTAAACTTAATTTTCCATACACCTCTAATCTGTGTTTACCTGAGGGAAGGTCAGGCAAAGCAATCTAAAATGGAAAAGAGACAGAGAAAATACAGCAGCAGTTATTTGCTGTGATCAACCAACATAATTGTTTAATAAGAACATATCAATCAGTCTATGAGCACAGTGTTCAAGGGTGAATGACTTAGTTATATGCTACTGTAATTAACAGTGTTCATAACTGGACACATTTATATTCCCTAACTGCACACAATATTGTAAAGCTTTATCCTTTTCCCCATTTAGCCACACCAGCTGCTAAAAATAGCAGTCATGGTGGGGGATGATGCCTACTGACACGGATGACCCCCTGAATGTTCCTCTTGCACCACCATAAGGCTGATGTTTTTGGCTTTTAGTGAAATGCCTCAACAACGCCATGGGTTTTGATTTTGGAAAAGTCAATTTTCCAAATTTGCTATTAGCAGTTCTTGACTGATACGTATACTTGGATGTACTGACAACCATAAATATGTTATATTGAAACTGAAGCTTCACTGCTGCTTCAGCTTCAGACCATATTAAAAAAGTCCTGTTGTTTTTAGAATATGTGCATGTACCTGCCCCTTTCACCTTACCAAAGTACTTTCATCAAAATAAAACAACCTGCTGGGACCAACTTTTACCCACCCAGTTTAAGAAAAAGTACCATACTATGCCTGATTACTGTACATCCTCCCAGAGCCACTAGCATGGCTGTGACTCCTTTTGTAGTGTGAACTGCATTAACTTTTCCCACATTCTTTCCCATCATACCATCAACCTGAGTGGCCAACTGTGTCAAAAACGGAGTGGATACAGCAGCTACTACAACACCATTCAAACAGCAAAACTAACTTGATGTTTCTGCAACACCAGCCAAGGATGGTTTGATTTCTGTCTCTCATCAGGATTTCTGTGACAGCGGATTGGTCCTGGGATCTTTAGGACTTCACTCAGAGCTTCAGTTTTCCTCACGATGTCTGAAAACAGAACGGCAGCAAAGAGGTGTCCTGAATTAGCTTAAACACACAAATGTATTCTCATATTTGAAATGCCAAAACCCAGTGAGAAGAAAATTATTTCATAAACACAGTAATAGTAGGAGTGAGTTTTTGTGAAAACCTTAAAGTGGGAAAGCTGTTTATGAATAAACATTGACCTGATTTGAATTCGATATCATAACTTCTTATTTGTGTAAACAAGCGCTGTTGTTTAGACAAGAACAGGTCTAAACAACAAGTACTTATCTAAACAAAAAGGATACACTCCCCTACTGTATAACTATATGCACTGCACTCAAAAGACAAAAGATATGCATCAAAAATTGAAATTCTCAATAAATATTAATTTATGCAACATTAAAATGACAGATTTGACAAATGACTTATCATCTTTCTATGAATACAGCCAAGATATTTATGCATACTAGTCTTTTCATTATGCCTTATCAGCAAATTTGGGAAAGTCATATTGGAGGAATATAATTCTTCATATAATTCTTGGAGCTTAGACACTTTAGAATTTTATTCAGATGTGTGTGTTGTATACTTGCATGTGAAATTTTAAGTAACCAGGTCCCTTTTTCTTATACAGTATGACTTGTAGAAGCTCCTTGTTTATAACAGATGGCTCTTTATGTTTCATTGTAATGCACCACAGTTATAGTTTTTGAAAGTCATTCCTGACTAGTTTTGAATTACAAAGAGTGGGCTCGTTCCAGTGGGAGCTTTAAATCCAAATTAAAAGATTAGCTGAAAATAACTTTTTGTTTTGTTTTATTTTAGTTTTTGTTTGTTTGTTTGCTTTGTTTTTTTGATATCAGCACCTGAGAACTGTGGCCTCTTCGTCTGATTCTGGTCCCAGCACTGCTGCATGATGTTGACCATCTCATCACACTCATCGGGCCTCTCATCAGGTATCATATTCAGACAGGGTCGTTTACCCTGTGACACCTGCAAGAGCACTGAAGTCATAGTGCACCCTGGGTCCACAAAACAGACAACAGACACAAGGTTCAGTGGAGGTCAATGTGCGCAGAGCGTGGCCACAGTTTCAGCACATTTTGTCAAATGGGAACCAGGCAAAACTATGCTGTGCACAGTCTTTGTTACCACTACAAACCATGAGAAAGTATCATACATTTATGCAACCCAGTGTTTTCCTACGTTTTATGTGAAAGGAAAAGTCTGACAACCTGTTTACACTTTTTGTATTGAATAAACCAAAAATATATATGTTAATTTGTAAGCTTTAGAGCTGATGATACATTCGGTGAGAACCAGACTAATTACCCCATTTTCAGTTTTTATGCTAAGATAACTTAACTGTCATTTGACTGTAATTGACACATTATCTAAGTCTCTGCAGGAAAGCACTAAATCAGTTTCAAAAATGTCAAACTATGCCTTCAGAGGGTTCGTTTATGTATATATTTAATTTATAAAAACAAAAGAATTTGGTCTGAGTTGTTGCTTAGGTTTAGAAAATTGGTTTCTCGCAAGGCCTTGGGTTACACTGACGTATTCACCAACAGTTCATTTATGACAGAGAGTTCAGTCAGTGTTAAATAAAGGATTATTGCTAGCCATGACTTGATAATGATGATGGACCGTATGCGTCTCTTCATTACTGTAACCTCCGGATCGTTGAGCTAATTATTTCAGTTGTAGCATTATATGGCTACTTCTTAACATTATCAAAGTGTTTTAATAACTTCTGTCCTGTTTTATGCACTTTATATGCATTTATACCACAGTTTAGAGAGTTACAGTTGTTGTATTGTGTTTATTGTGCAACAATATAGTGATATAAAGGAGTAAAATTAAAATTTCAAAACCAAATGTGAAAACACAGTGATAAAAGTGCCTTCGCCTTTATGCTGTTTAAATGATTATGTAGAGTATTACATGACTGAAGTAACACCACCTACTGTAAAAATTTACTGAAAGTCGACATTTTTTTGCTTTTCAAATGAACTCATTCCTACCTGCATATGGTTTCTGCTGTGTCAGGATCTCCCACACCACAATTCCAAAGCTGCAGTTCAAAGCACAAAGAAGCACTTCAGCCCTAATTTTCTCACTTTTTCATATCGTGGTTTCAATTAACTCTACAAGTGTCCTTGTCAGGCACAGTATGTTCATTAAAAACCCACATTGCTATCTAATAGAAAATAAAAGGGTGAGAGAGGGTGAATCGGACATGAGTAAATTTTATGGAATATGTTCCTGTGATGTGCAGAGGAAAATTATGTACAGCAAAGAGCAAGGTTAAGATGTGGGAATTGTGGTTTATGCATTGAATCAAAAAATAACAAGCTCTGACTATGATGGTGCAGTGTCCTTGGCAAGTCACCTGTAGATATCAAAGGTAACTCCTGGAGGATCAGGCCACTGACTGAAGGTCTCTGGAGGAATGTAATTAATGCTCCCTCTTGCTGTCAGAATCTCCATGAACATGTTCTTGCTCATGTCCTCTTCCCAGTGGATTAAACCATAATCTGAAATCTTAGTAGAAAATCAAGAATGCTAGGGCAGTACCAAATTGTCATACATTGTTCCTGCAGAGCTCAAAAATGTCAAGAAATTACAGTCTCATCTGGCTTTTTTTAAAGCTTCACTGACCTTGATATGGAGATGATCATCTAATAGGATGTTGGACGTCTTGAGGTTAAGATGGAGTAGCGGAGGATTCATGCTGTGGAGGAAATTCATACCCATTGAGATCTCATGAATCATCTGGAACTTCTTTGGCCACATCAAAGTGTGATCGGCTAGGAGAGTGTTCAGAGATCCATTACTCATGTACTCGATCACCATGGCAGTCGCTTCAGTGCACAGTCCATAGATGGACGCGATGTACTTGTATTTCACTCTGATTATGTTGGGTGCCTCTTCTATTATTCTCCTGTGATGGAAAAGATAACATTGTAGAAATGCAAAGACTAATGTAACCATAAGATATGAACTCACACTGTGTACACTGTGCCATAGAGTACGGAACTGATATAAGGCAATTTGCGTTAGTTGTGTTACCTGTAAAAGTTGTTTCCACAAGTTGTGTCAAAGCTTTTCAGGGCACATTTTTCCCGCCAGAGTTTAAGCTTGACCTGGTACACCTGTCCACATCTACCTTCTGTCACCTTAATCCAGTCTGCCTCAAAGTCATCTTTCTTGAAGTCCCTGACTTGCCCAGGTGATCTGTCAAGGAAATCCATGAGTTCCCACAGCGTGCTCACTCTCTAATTCTACAGATAAGCAAAGTTTATCCTTCAGATCGGCTCTGGCCAGTGCCACTGCAGGAAAAGAGAACGATGTAGGAGATTTAAATTTAAATTAGTGACAAATCACCGTGTGAACGACATGTGGAGTTACATAAACAACTGATCTGATCCATGGGAGGAGCTGAGGTGCAGAACTTGTTTGCACTGCAATGTCGCAAATCCGGTTTCTAGCTGCCAAGGCTGCTGGCCTAGCTGTTAGTCAGACATGCTGTTTGACTTATTTTCCCCTCCAGTAGCTCACATCCATGTGAACGAAAGACTATAAGCAATTCAAAAAATGTGCAGAATGCACACTGACAAAGTGATGTGATAGATATTTTGGGTTTGTATATACAGTAAATGAACTGCCTAATGGGCCCTCCTCTTCTATCAAACCGCACTTTAACAAGGCACTTAACCTCCAGCGGCTCCAGCAGAACGGCTCAGTAGTCGGCAGTTTGAGTTTAAGACCATGACATTTTTCTGTAGCACCAATGTGTGTGTGTGTGTGTGTGTGTGTGTGTGTATGTGTGTGGTTGTGTACGTGTATTACTCTTGTAGTAATACAAGTATACAAGGGGGACAGAAAACAAGTCTCCAAAATGTAAATCGTTACATTTTATAGTAAGACTTGTTTAAAGTAGGGTACAGGTAGGGGTTAGTAGTAGTAGTAGTAGTAGTAGTAGTAGTAGTAGTGAAGTGATGAAAATGTGACTGTGCGTATAAAAGAATGAGATGCAGATAGTAACACCCTTTTTAAGAAACACTATATGCAGTAAATACAGTCTGTAGTTCAGTACATAACCCTCTACACTTTGCTTTTTTGAATGAATTAAACAAATGAGCTATCTTGTGGCATCAAACTTTTCATCTGTAGCAGGACAGCAAATGAATGTACTTCCCAAAATGTTCAACTATTCCTTGAAGGTTTATAGTCTTGTTTTCCAGACTACTGCGCATTAGGATCACTTTGTCTCATTAAAGTTTTATGTCCTTTGATTACTTTGCTTTTATCACACAATAACAGCTAAAGAACAAATCAACATTTTTTTATGCAGCAATAAAAAGTTTAAATTTCAGATTCAAAACCAAGCCAAAATAGTCATATTCATAAGAGTATTTTGTACTTTATCATCTAAGGACCTGGTTAATAGTTGGCCTCAACTTGTGTTGAAATTGGACTTTGTTGGCAAAGCTAAAACTCACTGCCTCAATGTTTGGGAAGTCATTAGTTCGAATTATATTTTCCCTTAATCTCTACTCATTTAGCACACTGTACATTTATTCAAGATAATTGTAGTTTTAGTTTTACTGCAAACTGTCTTTAGAGGTGGTGCCGGGACTAGGTTGTGTAAATTGCACCCGTTCACTTATCCACGGTGTCAAGACATTTATTGCCTCCTACCTGAAATTTTCTTAGGAACCCAAACTTGTGGATTTCATCTCTCTGCATCATAAAAGCAGGGTGTTCTTTGAGAGAAAAGATTTAAGCTGCCTGTCTTATGGAAAAGGATTACAGCAAAGGGTACCTCATTCAGGAAGATGGGGGGAAAAGATGTCCTCTACCACCCTCTATTCCCACCTGCTGTTCTGTTTATTGGCTCATCACTTATATTTTACCACCACTAAACCTCCTGTATGACTAAATGTATCTGGGGATGTGAGGTGTTTTCGTGTGATGTATAAAAAATTTACGTGGAGATGTACTTTTATCGAAGCAAACACATACATAATGTGGGCCACTAGCAGCTTTGGCTGTCATAAATATAAAAAATTTAATATTTCTCAAATTTCATCATTCTTTGCACATAGCACATTTAGAGTCAGTATGGTTCTTGCCGAGAGCATGACGCAAATTATCACCACAATCTCATAAATGTGGGCAACCCTCACCAGACAGCCACCCGTCGTTCATTGTCTCTGCCTTTTATAAACTTGAAATATAAAGTTATCCCTTATTTCACTTCATAACGTACGTCTCACGAGAAAGCAGCTGCAGATCAGTCGTTTGCTCTTTTCTTCAGTGCTCTGAGTTTGCTCTTTGTTCGGACTTTCATTTCTAAGACACAGTTAGAAATGTTTTATTAATAATTCCACTTCAAATGGTTTTTTCCCTCCTCGCTCCTTTTAAATTTGCTAGCTCACCCTGCAGGTCTGCAGGTAGGAACAGGGTGCACATCAGTGGGATGATTAGCATTTTGACCTACAGTACAGTCTCATGGCCTGTATGCCAGTATGTCACCAGAGGGAGCATAGAAGAAAGTGTAAGTTCAGAATGAGTGAACTTTAATATGATTGAAGAAAGCAACAAACATATTTCAGGACTGCAGTCAGGAAGAGGAGTCTACTGTCAGTCAAATCATCTTTTATTTTGTTCAGTAATTGAAGCGTGGTTTGACCTCGAACCCTGTAAAAGTCCCACACATTTTCCTTTTGGTGAGGGATGTGATTTACAAACACCCTCTCCCTCCTTATTGTATCCGTTCTGCTCTCCAAGGAGTGCAAATGACTAACAGCTGCCACGCTGACAGCAGTGCCACAAATTTTACTGCTTTCTCCTGACAGTAAATTTCAGCCACAGTTCCTCTGTTGCAGTGATGGTAAATCAGGTGCTGAGAGAATTTACATAAATTTCCATTCTCTCCTCCCTTATTTCTGCATCCCTAAACAGGAATGCCTTATGATACATACGTATTGCATGAAACCGGTGCTGCTCTTCTTTTTCTTTGGCATCGTGCCCACCGTGATTCTTTAAAACATGAAACAGCATCATTGTGAGCTACAGATAAAGCTCTGTATGATTATGAACATTAAATCTGTTATCATCATACTGTAGGTATTCACTGTATCTACACTGTATATATTTTTTATTGGGCAATAGGCTACTCTGCAGATTTCTTCACTATGTGGACAACATTTTGCAACTGAGTGCTCTCCCAAGCGTTGTAACCCTTCAACGTGCACTGTTATTTAGGATAGCCTTGGACTGATGTTTCAGTGAAAACCAGGACCTTGTGATTAGATTTCTGATAGGCTACCAGAGGAGAGAAGTCTATTTTCATTGATGGAATCCACATCTCGCAGCTCAGTCAACCACATTAACAGGCTCCACCGTGCTGGGTAAGCCCACTGGCTGGAACCAAAGGTCCCACATGTCCTCTAATAGCGAACTGCAATGTCTGTGATCCATATTCTGTGAGCAAAGACAAGTGATACACATAACCATGCAAAAGGAAGGAGCGAGTGTGCACTGAGGTGAACCAGGTGTCTAATCTGATACATACTGTGGTAAATGGTGTGTAAACACCGGGTTTCAGGCTATTAATTGATTCCTGCGTACCTCCTGTGTTGGCTGTGTTTTTTAATCAAATTTCTATCTTTTGCAAATAGGTCACAACTTGCATTTCTGCAGAACTGACAGAACGAGCAGCACAGTGAATTATGAACTGTTCAGTTGAGCCACGGGATGCCTTGGATTTACTTGAAAGAAACTAATTTTTATATGCCAATAGAGTCACAAGAAACAGTAATGGCACTGTGTGCAATTTCCTGGTTTTCTGAATGGATTGGTCATGAAACATGAACTGACCTTCACCAAAGTCACACCTATCAACAAATGCAATATTTCTATGCTGATAAAACACAAACAGTCTTGATGTCTTAAATGAATACGGCCATTGAACATTAAAGTGATAACCAATTTATGCATTCCTCATCTGTGCACCGGTTCAAATCACCCATTTAGAAATCTTTGAAATATAAACCTCTGTTTTGATTTGCCTAGATATGTGTTGGATAAACTTTGCCTGCCACGTGAACTGAACTGTTCATTTAACTGATGATCTTATGCATTTTACTCTTTTTCTGTTTAGTCTTGTTTTCTGCATGTATTATTGGATTGTAATACCTATTCTTTAATGTTAATCTTGTCTCTTAATCACATCATGCGATGCAGATCTGTGATGTTTTTTCTTGCCGCTAACTTTAGTACATGTTTAAGTCACATGCTTTATGTAGGCCAGGTTTTCACTGCACTTTGCTTTCGTCAGTACACAAACATATTTTTTTATTGTCGTGCTAAGAGTGAGATACCAACTAAATTAATTCAGACAAACCATTACAATTTAAAGGATCATTTAATATTACAGTTATTCTGAATAGAGTAGTATTCAAACACACAATCTTGTAGTTAGGGAACAGAGAACAGAGATCAGAGAACAGAGACTCTCCTCTTGCAATGGAATAGATAAAGCCTAAAGATTGCCAGAGCACCAGTCATTCAAGTCAGTGGTGGTCAGTCCCGAGTCAGTCGGCGTCCTCCCCAGCCGGCTGGGTCCCCAAAAAGGTACATGGTCTACTATTCACTGCTGCATGGTCCTCTTCTCTCTCCCAGGCTCACTCCTTTTATCAGCAGCCTCCCTTATGCTGTTGCGTCTATTTCTGAACCTAGATTTCTGTCTCCAGTTTCGGGAGACAACACCCTGAGATGTACTTCGAAAACAGGAAACATCTTGTTCCTGACCACTTACATAAACCCATTGTCCAACTCATATGTACTTAACGGACCCATAGCCACTCAGCTCAAATAAGTACCAATAATGTCCATATGTGAAGTACCTACTGTTCTATTGCATAGTTCTTCTGGAATCTGATTTATTTTTAACCACCACATTATTTTCAGAGTTTACACTGAAAATGTATATAAAACCAGGTAAATATGAATGCACTTATCAATTAATTTAATATGACCGTGTACTTGTGTGAATCCTGGTTTCTTGTTACTTTACCAACTCTTCTTGTTTGTGACTTCTAAAATCTCCTAATGTTGTGAATTGTGATTACTGTCACTTAATTTATCAACCAATACAGTTTCCACTGTATTTGCATCCAGTAAACAAAAGGCAAAATGCAGCCTCCAACCTTGTTGGAAGTGCGTTTAGTACTCTGTGTAGCTG